CCAAATAATGGAAGATGGCAGATGTCTCTCAATGTTTTTTGTTTGTGGTTAGCAAGCAAAACTAATATTGCAATTTTAGGGATGCACAAAACAACTAGAAACAAATCTATTATTATATTTGTTATTTTTATTATTTAAGAGCGTGTAAGTTTAGAGTATAGATTACTAGGTCTATTTTAATCTTGCAGAAAAGAGCCTTAAGAATTATAACGAAAACTCATTACTATCATCCTACTAGTGTATTATTTTGTAAAATGAAGTTGCTGGGGTTTTATGATTTGGTGGAATATAATATTCTTTTGTTAATGTATAAAGCACGTCATTATACACTGCCCTCAAATATTCAAGTGCTTTTTGTAAAAAGAAAAAGTTGTTATAATCTAAAGGGCACTGATATTTTTGTTAAACCTAAATATAGAACTAGTTTAAAGGGTCGGTCAACGTTGATACATGGAATAGGACTATGGAATAGTTTGGAAACTGATGTTAAAACAGCTCAGTCAATGTCTGTATTCAAGAAAAAAATTAAGAGTATAATGTTGCAAAGATATATGTAATTTGGTTAATATAAAATGTTTTTAAAATCATTATATTACTATAAGTTGATTATTTGTTTCATGGTTGACTAATGCATGAATTGCATTGATTGTTTAGTTGTTGAAAAATTATTTTCATGAATGACTATTGCTTAAATTGATTGTTTGTATTGATTTTTTTGTCTAAGAAGGGGCAGTTATTATAAGATTTTTTCTTCTTCTGCTTCCTTTCATTTTAAATTTTCTTTTCTGTTTTTTTTTATCCATATGGATTGTAAATTGTTTTTTTCCTGTGTTTTAATTTAAAATGAATAAAATAAATGAAATGAAATGAAATGAAATGACACTTGGCAGCCCTCTGTGTTGTATGTGGAAAACCTGTCAGTGCCTGATTAGTTTATTTGTGTGTGTGTGACTGATCCGCTATGGGAGGGGTGTTTGTTCGGTCTTCTCTCTCTCTTTTTTTTTTGGTACATTCAAGGATAAAAATATCAATAACAAGACTGATAAAAAAAAGCTCGATTTGTAGAGACAGGGAACTTTATGTTTTAAATATAATTGTTACTTCTAATGGGCAGCACGGTGGCACAACTGGTAGAGCTGCTGCCTCTCAGCGAGCAGGTCCCTGGTTCAAACCCCGGTCCAGGGGCCTTTCTGGGTGGAGTTTGCATGTTCTCTCTGTGCATGCGTGGGTTTTCTCCGGGTACTCCGGTTTCCTCCCACAGACCAAAAACATGCATGTTAGACTGATGGTAACTCTAAATTGTCCCTAGGTGAGAGTGAGAGAGTGAATGGTTGTTTGTCTCGTTTGTCTCTATGTGTCCCTGTGACGGACTGGAGACCTGTCCAGGGTGTACCCCGCCCTTCACACAGTGATTGATGGACACGGGCACCGGCGACCCCCGTGACCCAAAACGGAAGTAGCGGTTAAAGATAATGGATGGATGGATGTTACTTCTCATAATATGCCCATGCTGTAGTGTTGCATGTCCTTCTGAGGCAATCTGAGGTCAAAGTTCAACTCATTTCAGGATTAAATAATCAATAAATCATTTCTCTTGATTTTATAAATGAACTGCACATTGTCTTGCTTCTTTTCTTTCCACAAACTTTGATGTGTTCATGCAGCATCTTTTGTTCATGTCAAATTTAGGAGCCATTTTGTTATTTTATTTTTTATTTTTTTATTTACACCCCAGTCTCATTGTGACCTCTGTGCAGGCTGTCATGCTGTTCTTCTACCTGGTGGCCTTCCTGGTCATCCTGCAGAGGATTTGGGCTTACATTGGCTGTTTCATTTGTGCATAGCAGCAGCAGGAGACTGTCACAGAGCTCAGGTACACACACACACACACACGCACACGCACACGCACACACACACACACACACACACACACACGCACACACACACACACACACACACACACACACACACTGCTGCTTCACCTGGAAATACAGGCAGATAAATACGGGTCGGATTTCTGGCTTCAGCAGTTTAGTTTCCTAGTTTTAGTTCATAATTTAAACTGAATACTGACAAAAATGATATCAGTAAGTAATCATTATCATACAGGAAACACATCACAAATATCAAACAGAATCTTCAATACTTATTTTTCTTCTTTTTGTAACAATAAAACTAAAATAAAAAAATTAAAGTATAAATTGAGTTTTTGTGACAATAATAAACTTGAGAACGATAACGTGTTTAAAATGTGATGACAAAAAGAAAAGTACTCAGTGTTGAGCTGACACGTGCAGGTAGTTTTAGAATATCCTAACAGTGACTCAGATGTTCTGCTGTGATTCAACAGATGGGTGGTGGGCCTTTACCTGGGCAAAACAAGTGTTAAATTAAAGAGCATCAGTCTGATTATTCAACTCAATTCAATTCAGTTTATTTATAAAGCACCAAATCACAACTAAGTTGTCTCAGGGACTTTACAGAAATCCAGTTAGTAAAGTTCTCTATCTAAGGAATCCAGCAGACAAGATGAATCTTGGCTTCGTTGCAGTCTCCCATCCTGAGCAAGCACAGTGGAAACAGTGGGAAGAAAAACTCCCTTTAACAGGAAGAAACCTCCAGCAGAACCAGGATCAGGACAAGAGACCGTCTGCTTTGACCGGCTGGTTGAGAGGACAGGAAGGAGAGACAGACGAACACAGAATGGTAGGTCCAGATGTAGGTCCAGGTCCAGGTATAGGTCCAGGTGTATCTGAAAGATAAAAAAAAAACATGTTAAGGATAGAAAAAATAATTACAAATACAAAACAGGTTGAGCAGAGTAAGTAAAGACAGTAGCAGAGTGAAAAGTGTGGTCAGTTTGTCCTCCACTAGTCTAAGCCTATAGCAGCAGAACTAAGGGACAGCTCAGGAAACCCAAGCCGACCCTAACTGTAGGATTTAGCAAAAAGGAAAGTCTTAATCCTAGTTTTAAAACTGGATAATGTGTCAGCCTCACGGACAGAGGCTGGAAGTTGGTTCCACAAGAGAGGAGCCTGAGAACTGAAAGATCTGCCTCCCATTCTGTTTTTGTAAATTCTAGGAACCACAAGTAAACCTGGCTACTGTAATGCTCAAATAAGTGACAGAATCGTTTGATTAAAATATTGTTATATATTTAATGTGTGGCTCTTGTCAGAATGTGTGTGTGTTTAGTCTTGTAGTTCTTGTATTTAGTTTTTTCTGTCTGTTTTACTTCTGTTTCTGCTTCCCCAGGTTTCCCCTCTCATGTAGTTCTTGCACCTGCCACTACATTCACCTGTTCCTCATGTCTGTCCCCATTTGTTCTCATTTTTCCCCCATTAGTTTCCATTTAAATTTATAGTGTTCTTCTCTTTTGTTGACTGTGCCTTATACTTTCACACTGCCGTCGTTTGTTTTCCTGCAAGCCTTTAAAGTATTTTCATAGTATTTCCTAGAGTTTTCAGTTTTGAGTTTTTGTGCTGCCTCGTCAGCCTTTTTGTTTTGTCTTTTGCAAATAAATTACTTTGTTTATTTTCCTTCATATTCTTCAGTTTATTGGGTTTGCATTTGGGTTCACATCTTCAGCAAACATGATCCTCAGCTCCTCCATGTTTTGAGTACTTTTGGAACTCCTTTTCAGTATATGGACTGTTTCTTGTTTTTGTGTGAGATCCCTGTTGAGTTTGTGTTTAAAAAATTGAATCTACTGAAATTAAGTTTTGCATTTAATGGAAATGCAGCCAATTGAATGTAAAAAAGCAATAAATACTTCCCTCTCTGGCATCACCCCCGCTGCTTGTTCTGATTTATCCTTAAACTTGTTTTTGTGTGTGTTGGCATACTGTGATATTTTATTCTACTTCAGGTTCAAACTGTTCCATTCTTTAATTCAATAAATATGAGAAGTTGAAAATTTTTCTATTTGGATCATGAATTGTCATCATGGAGTGTTTCATGGAGCACCACAGGGGACTGTACTCTCACCATTCCTTTTCGCTCTGTACACCTCAGATTTCCAGTATAAAACAGACTCCTGTCATCTGCAGAAATATTCTGATGACTCTGCAGTGGTCGGGTGGATCAGAGACGGACAAGAAGCTGAGTACAGGGAACTGGTACCATACCATACCATCCATCCATCCATTTTCTTTACCCGTTTATTCCATTTTGGGTCACGGGGGTCGCTGGTGCCCATGTCCAGCAATCACTGTACGAGGGGCAGGGTACACCCTGGACGGGTCGCAAGTCCATCACAGGGCCACATAGAGACAAACGAGACAAACAACCATTCACTCTCTCACGCACACCTAGGGACAATTTAGAGTTACCAATCAGCCTAACATGCATGTTTTTGGACTGTGGGAGGAAACCGGAGTACCCGGAGAAAACCCACGCATGCACGGAGAGAACATGCAAACTCCACCCAGAAAGGCCCCTGGACTGGGGTTTGAACCAGGGACCTGCTCGCTGAGAGGCAGCAGCTCTACCAGTTGCGCCACCGTGCTGCCCATACCATACCATACCACTTTATTTATAAAGCAATTAAAACAGGTACAAGGCCAACCAAAGTGCTGTACAGACAGAACAACAGGTAACACACAAAGCAAAATACAAAATGAGGTAAATCAGAATATAGACATAAAAACGATGCAGATAATGACGACAAACCAGTGTGGAGCATACAGGATCAAAACACAGATCATCTGGTGTTGAAAGCTACTGAATAGTAGTGAGTTTTTAAATGGGACTTGAAAACCGAGAGGGAGGGGGCCTGTCTGACAAGCAGAGGTAACTCGTTCCAAAGTCTTGGTCCTGCTACAGAGAAGGCCCTGTCACCTCTGCGCTTAAGACGAGTTCCTGGAACTGTGAGGAGCAACTGGTCCGCTGACCTCAGGGAGCGTGGTGGGACATACGGTTGTAGCAGATCAGAGAGATGGGTAGGGGGGGGGGGGACACTGTTCAGTGATACATGAGTATTTTGAACTGGATTCGAAAGTGAACCGGTAACCAGTGCAGTTAGGCCAAAACTGGTGTAATGTGCTCTCTTTTGCCTGTACTGGTTAAAAATGGGGCTGCTGCATTCTGGACCAGTTGTAGTCGTGCAATGGAGGTCTGACTGATACCAAACAGGAGTGAATTGCAGTAATCAAGCCTAGATGTAATGAATGCATGTATTACTGTCTCCAGGTTCTTTTTGGACAATATGGGCTTCAGTTTAGACAGCCGCCTCAGTTGGAAGAAACATGATTTAACAATCATGTTTACATGATTGTTAAGTTTCAGGGAAGGGTCCATTATCACGCCCAGATTAGTGACTCTTTGTTTTTCTGACAGGGTTAGAGCGGAAAGGTCGATGCAGTGGTTTGTGATCGTGTCGTTGGGAGGGAACAACATGACTTCAGACTTCTTTTCATTGAAACTTAAGAAATTTAAAGCCATCCAGTCCCTCATGTCAGCCAGGCAGTTGAGCAGCGGTTGAATAGAGCATGTACCATTGTGTCTTGGGGGAAGTAAATTTGACAGTCATCGGCATAGAAGTGGAAGGGCATGTTGTGTTTCCGGAAAATAGCACCTCCAGGAAGCACTTCAACTGGGACTCGACTATTTTCTCCAGTACTTTAGAAACAAATGGGAGTTTGGAGACAGGCGGGTAGTTGGAAACGACTGAAGGGCCAAGGTTTGCTTTTTTTCAGGAGAGGCTGGACAGCAGCATGTTTAAAGGATTTTGGCACCACGCCAGTGGATAAACTACTGTATACTATATCAAGAATGGACGGACCTAGAGTTGGAAACACCTCCTTTAGTAGTCGAGGTGGGACCACATCAAAGGGGGAGCCAGAAGGTTTCAAGCTGCACATGACCTGCTCTAGAGAAGATAGAGTGATGGGTTCAAAATGGTCAAATGGAGCTACAGATTGAGGTGGGATGGATGGGTCATGAGTTGGAGGGGAAATGAGAGCCCTGGTGGTCAATTTTTTCAAAAAGAAATGTAAGAAGTTGTCGCACAGCTCAGTCGAGGCTTCCAGAGGTGATGGTTCAGTGAGGTGGAGAACAGAGTTTAGGGTGGAGAAGAGGACACATGGGTTGTGAGAGTTTGAGGTAATTATATCAGAGAAGAATTTTGATTTAGCAGCTTTTACTGCTTTCTGAGAACGGCGCCAACTCTCTTTAAGTATTTGAAAAGAGACCTGCAGCCTGTCTTTCCTCCACTTTCGTTCTGCCCTCCTACATTGCTGCCTAACGGCCTTGGTGACGTCACTCAGCCAAGGTTCTGCTTTGATTTTTGATTTTTTGGTTTTAACAGGTGCGACATGATCCATAGTCTTTAAGCAGACAGAGTTGAAATGGGATGTCAGCTCCTCAGTGGTGGTGAGAAACACTGGGGGCTGAATTATCATTTCAGAGTTTTAAACATCTGTGAAACATGCGGCAGTGAAGTGGTTAATGGTCCGAGTCCTACGTGCAGGAATGCATGACTTAGGAGTTAGATGGGGGAGGGTGAACTCAAACCGGACTGGCATGTGGTCTGAGAAAACATGTTTTTTTGTGGTGGACGGCTTTGTGGCATGGTGTGGAAACAATCATCTCATCTTGAATGTGAACAAAACAAAGGAGATGATTGTAGATTTCAGGAGAAACAGGAACAGGTCCAACCCTATTTCCATCATGGGAGAAGAAGTGGAGGTGATGGAGAAGAATAAATACCTTGGGGTTCACCTGGACAACAGACTGGACTGGAAATGCAACAGTGAAGTGTCTAGAAGAAGGAACAGAGCAGACTGTACTTCTTGAGGAAGCTGAAGTCCATCAGTATGTTAAAGACGGGAGCTGGCTGCGGGCC